GGGCATCCATGAAAACTCCCCGCTTCCCAACTCACCTAGCTCTGTCAATGCTTCTTCAACATGCTTCTTGAAGGCACTGTCATCCGGGTAGGAAGAAAAGCGGTAGATGGGGAGAGGCACTCGAGAGTAATAGCTGAAGTCAATGCCTTTTACCTTGAAACTGACTGGCCCGTCATCGGCAACCCCTGACCAGTCCTCCTGATACAGATCACCGTCAGGCGTGAGGATGTACCACACTGTGCCTGAAACCCTCCAGATCATCAAACGCTCGTGGTAAACTGAGTCATCAGCAAGCCACACAATAGCCCGCTGTCCTGGATGGCACTTGGACAACACCTCCTCCGCGTCGCCTCGGACTAACAAATGACTCATCTCCCTCAGCAGCCTGCCCTCTTGAGGAACTCAGCCGACACACTGAAAAGACCACGCTTGCGAGAAGGACTCCAACCACCAATCCCAACGACAAGTCTAACGTCCTCGAATGACCTGGACTGCAAAGGCACTGGCACGAGCAGGTCTGATTCACCAGGGATGGGCCTTGATCTTGAAGCCTCGGTTCCTTAGGGATGGACCGATATCCCACCTCAGCCAGCCTGGCCAGCCACAGAATGGCCAGTGCTGAGGGTTTCATGCGGGGCCCCCCTGGATCACCCTTTTGACTTGAGCACCGCATCAACGTCATTTCAAAATTCGATACACAAATCAGTCTTCATGTGCGATCACTTCCATATATAAGGGACCCCACTTGGTATCTATATGTAATAGTGGTATATATATATATATAGTGGTTATATGTGTAATATAAGGGACCCCACTTGTTGTATCTTGTTGTTATCTAATCTATCGTGATAGTGACACTGAGCCTATGCACAACAAAACAAGAGCGAGGATGTAAAGACAAGATCCCCATTTTCTCGGTCAAACAGGTGCCCCAATGGCCGATCGTCCATCATACTTTGTCCTCGCCCAACAGTGATGTAGAGAACTCTTCTGCTTTCACACAGGTCCTGCTAAACACGGAGAGTGTCCAAATAAAATTGTTCCACAAAGATCTGTGCCCCAGCCTCAGCCCTTTGTGCGAAGAAATCTGCAAATCAAACTTAGGTCTTTGGTGAGATTTCGCGGCACCAAAGACTAAAACATCGTCATGGCATACAACCTGGGAAATCACCCTTTCGGCGTCTTCAAAAAGTCTCATGAATCCAACGTGCGCATCCTGCCTGTACTCGCGGCTGCTTTCCTCTGCAATCTTCAACTCTTCCTCCACAGCCTTGAACTCTGCCTGGTGCAAACCAACCGACAGCATGTCATGGTTGGGTGGCACAACATGTATAAAGCCAATTAACGTCAACGAATCAGAAAAGCCTTGCGATTCACTGACTCGTAGCGGTGTAAATATGAAAAGCTCGAAGGGATGTAGTACTCCAGCGAAAAGAGTGACGAGCGGCTGTTCGGTCGCGCCGCAAAAATACACACACAAACAACCACGCGCTCTCGCACGCACGCACGCAACTACCCGGCTCTCTATGGGTCAGGATATGGCAGGATGGTATAATTAGGGTGAATCCGGGAATCCTTTCAGATTCTTCAACAAAGCTTGAGAGATAGCTCCAATTAGCTCCACATCATATACTGAAGTTGAAGAGAAAGAGCCAGTCGATGCCAGTCGCGTTCCTTCATGAATCATGATTCATGATCGAAAAAAATGCTTCTCGACTCAAATCAAACGGAATAGGTGTGGCGACTCTCACCTGCCAAAGGCCAACTGCTAGTGGGAAAAGAACTGAATTTTCGACACCCCCAAACATCAAATCGCTTGATTTCCGGGCCTGCCTGGGCTGCCAGCAGCGCGTTCGCTTTCGCCTCCAGCTGCTGGATGGATTCGCGCTCCTGGGTGAGGCAGCTGGATGCGCATGATTGCACATGGTTACGCCAGGGGATGTTGGAAATGAGAGAATTCTATGATTCTTCGGTGGCTGCGGGTCAAGACTTTCAGAGGACGCGGGCCTAACAACCGAACATGAAAGGAGATACCAATGAGAAAACAATGAGGGAGGTCAACGTCTCAGGGTCAACCGGCCACAACAGGTGCCATGACCCACTGCCATCTGTGACATGACAAGACCCAGGGTGTGGCTTTGGAAGTTCATCGCTGTCGGCTCCCAAAACCCCAAACGGGCCAATGCTGAGGCTTGGCTCCAACTTTCCAGAAGCATCCAGGGACTACAGTGACTACAGGCCTCCAAGAATAGGCTGAGATAGTCTGACATGATAACACTGTTCCTAAAAGGATTTGCCTGGTTTCTTGGCTGTGGCTAGGGGCAATGGCTGCGCCAACCACGAAGCATGTGTCAGGCACCGGGCATGGATCTCATGTTTGGGTCTGCTTGCCCGAAATAGTGGATGATGGGCTTGCGTTTGATTCATTTAAGTTAACATGGTGACATGATGTGACATGGTGCTCCAAAATTCAATACACTCCCGACTCCCAATGAGGGCCATTCCTCCCAAATTGCCCCATTAGTCACTGAGAGAGCAACGGTCAACCGGAATCATCGACATGATCGTGCCAATCATTATCAAAGCCATTCCAAGGCGACACTGTGCAAATCTTGAAGAACGAATCACATTAAGATCACTGATCTTAAACTGACCTCTCTCTCAGAGTTGCCATGAAGGTCCCAAGCTTTCACTCCATCCCAGACTCGTACGTAAAACAGCCAAGTCTCCGACGCCTTGGCGCTCTCCAGCGCCGCTTCGGCGTCCTGCCACTGCTGACGCTCTGCCTCCACCGTCGCCTTCGCAGTGCGGCGGTGGGTGTGTCATGGGGAATATTCTGACGGATGCACGAGGGAGACGATCTATGGAATACCAGGTGTGTATAATATCATCGAACCTCATGTGATGTAGAAATCCAGGAATGATGCAACACCGACCCAATCAACACACGATAACACATGTCTGCATCACCTTCCTGTGCGGATTGAAGCATCCTGCCCTTATTGAACCTGACACACTGAGTCATGAGTCTGCATTTCATGAAGGCTGAAGCCAGTCAACAGCCAGCTCGACCAGGCCTATCAAATGCCGCTCCTGGCGGCCCCTGACAAACTTCGATAGCAATTATATACTCAATGAAAAACAACACACAGGCAATAAGTATATATACAGTAAGACACTCATATTGATTGATAATATTACTGTGATCTATGAGATGTTGTATTGTCGACCGGTTCCTTCTCAAGACTCAAGACGGCCTGAATGGTCTGCTTGGTCTCCAACTGCGTCTTGGTCATCTCCACCAAATGCACTTGGAGCTTCTCGCCCGTCTCAGCCAGGTCTGTGGACTGAAAGTCAGGAAGTACCTCATCAGCGGTGGCACTGTCCGGTCCGCCCTTCATCCACCGACGCATGGGATCTCATTCACCGACGCTTGCGGAATGCAGCCGGCTTTCAAAGGACATCTAAGTATGGATCGATATAGCTGCTATAGCTGCATTCCTTTGCATTCAGCACACACACACACAAAACCAACTCGAATTGTTCTATTGCACGGATGGATGGATTGACGAACATCGACATAGGTAAATTAGGCTGGTGAATGCCTTAGAGCAACCAACGAACACGTTCTGGCTTGGGTGCAAATCGTTTGTGGCTTCATGCGATTTCCCCTGACCAATGCCCGCTCAAATGATCAGCTGGTATGACAGCAATCTCTGAATAAAGCACTTGCGCACACAAGCTCCTGGTGGCTGGTCCTGCTACCAACGACAACGATAGTGGGAGGCGCGGCGCAGGACTGCCGTGATGCCCATGGACTGGGATGGAGTTGGGGAAGCATACGAGCGCATGTACATGCCGATGGTTTCCACGCATGGAAGTGGACACCGAACGTGGCCATTTAAGGCCGGCCCATGGGCCCATTTTCCACGTCAGCGGGCCGAACGATGGTGGTATGAGTCGCTGGTGATGGTGGTGGTGAATAAAGGCGAAGCAGATCAAAGCAGAATGATGCGGCAATGATGCAGGGCCTGTCCTCCTCACGATGCTTGATGCTTGCGGTTGGTGGGGCGAAGATTGAACAATCAGGGTTCGAGCATCAACCCCCTCTGTCCAATTCCTTAGCAAGAAGAACTCCAGTGACAATCAGGCCTTTGTCAACAGTACGTAATCAGTTACAGTGTATGTGTGAATTCTGTCTTTAAGCCATACCTTGTATCGACCAGAGTTAAAGCTGCTTAAAGCTGCCAGCATTGTCTGCTGTTTAATTCGCTGCTTCATATATATAGTCTTCCAGACATAGGGAAAATGGATGCATATAGAGTTATACAGTACACCCTTTAAATGACTGTTACAGTTCATTGGTAACACTCAATGTGTATATATTGATGCATGCACTCTTCCATCGAGTGCCAAACTCCTTGGCACTCCCAAACACGTAGTGTTGTGTACACTACCTCTGAGTTTTCAGGCAAGCTTCATCCCTCATGATGCTATGGGTGGCATTCACATTTGTCGGGGGATGTCAATATCATCCCAGTGTAGACTTATAACTTATAAACCACTCAGCGATCCTAAAGCTCTAAGTGTCCGCCAGAATACTGCAGTGACCTTCTCGATGGCAGCAATGTCGGCCATGGCGTCAGTCGCGTGTGGCAGTCGCGTATCGGTGGAAGCGAATCCCAAAATGGCTGGCAAACACAAGTCAGACCGATGTGGAACAGGCAAGCCGAGTGTCCCCCGAAAGGTTCCATGGTTCATAGCTCCCGCCCACCTTAGCTCAATCGTATATTTTTCTCACGCGATGAAATATCAATGATTCTCATTACAGTAATGTTTCATTGAGTCTACTGGGTTTAGCGGTGGCCTCCAACGAGTAAATAGGGTGTGGGTTTTCGACGTTCTGCGTGCGACAAACACATGGTCAATTCACCGTTGGTGTCTGTGGCATGTTTTCGTGTCTGGTGTCTCTTTTGTTTCGGTCGACCGGGCCGCCGCACAGGTGGCAGGTTCGTCACCAGGACAGTCCCAGGTTCCAGGTGTGAGCCGCTCTTGGAAGCATCTGGCAAGCTGGGCGAGCCCCCGCCTTGAAGTATGTCATCAAGGCTATAAGGGGTTACCAAGATCATTAGTCTCATGACTTTAAGTCATGATAGTGAATGTGATAGTGGAGCTTATTTGCTGGAGGAGCCTGCATCAACCAGAAGTTACTGACGATATCCATTCGGATGTGCTGGGGCGTGGACCATGCCCAGGTCTGGCCGACTGGAACCACTCTTTGGGAGAGCCTTGGGACTGCTCCGTCTTCAGAGCTTAGCTTCAGAGGTGTGAGTTGAACATGAGAATTTCAGGCCAGTCCAACCCCCCCATGGTGCATATGGAATCCTCTGGGTGATGCCCTATACTCCCTGAAATGATTACGGAAATTGAAATGGATGGCGCGGCATGGCCCCGATTTCGGATGACCCTTTTGCACCACAAAAACAAAGAAAACACCATGGTTTTCCACTTCCATGATTATCATGATTCTTTCAGGGAGTGTATGCCACTTGGATGTTACATGATCTGATCATATTTGATCCTTCCAGTGGATCGGCCCATGGTCACCGGCCGCACGGTCCTTTCCCCGACCCCACCAACCTTGAGAGCGAGGTTTCCTGAGTCGAGGCATCCGGGAGCGAAGCGGCAGGTGCCGACCGGAGGTCTAGCTCAGTGATCCCTAGAAGGGAGGATCCCTTCTGATTCATGCTTGTCAGTAAGCTCTTACTCTTCTTTCTCATCCTCATCACTCGTGATCAGAGTTGCCTTTCCATGCAACATGAACGTGTATGATTGAAGAGTTGGAGGCCATCGCTCTTATGGAGGCCATCGCTATTGGGTTATCTAAACGTCGCCTTTTGAGAGGCAAACGCGGAGGTGAGTCCCGAACCGTGGAGAAAGGTCCCGAACCGTCCTCCGTCTGGACGGGTTTTTCCAAAGTCCGGTCTCTCACCAAGGACCCTGGGCAAGAACAACTCATCGTGTTTAGCCCAATAGAATGGACCTTCAACCACCTAGCTTTCATGTACTGAATACATTAACTATAAATGTTGAGTCGCTTTAAGCTTTTCTGAGACATCTCCCACTAGTAAGGGATGCACTTGCAACGCACGAGGTAGTTGCAGTAGTTCAGGTTGAAGCACGCAAATCATAAAGACAACATATAGGGATGTTGGTGGAAAAGGAGGCACGATTCCCATGAGAACCTATGCATGATGAACGAGGAAGCAAAGCAAGAATCACATCCTGGCTTGACGCACATGTATTTGCTTCAATCTTCTCCTCGTCTGCAAGACATAAAATGACATAAGCCATAAGCCTGTAGTAGCCATGCCAAGTTGCAAGTAACACTCCAAGCTTTGTTGCTTGGAATTCACTCCGCTGCTGAGCCCCTTGGAAGCGCTCCTGAGCCAAGTGAGGGAAGGAGATCCTCAGGTTCCTGCAGGTGGGGATATCATGGACCTCTTTGCATTACTCACAGGATGGCACCGTACATATGAGCCATAGCCATATAGCCATAGAACTTGGATAGGTTTGCAAGATGTACTGGCAACTTTGCGTGGGGTAGCAGGTTCCAACAAAGCTCAGCAAGAACCCCACCCTTCCTCTGCGTCTCTCTCCGGAAGAGCAACTCCCTCGTAATTGGAGCTCGCCTTCTTCTGAACAACCCACACTTCTCTTAATCAAACCTTTACATCTTAAATTAAGTTAAACATTCCGATCACGCAAATACGTCGAATGGTTTTTAGAGAGTTAGTTATAACATGTTACAACCTATAATATGTATATATAATTGCATATATTAATATATATATATATATATGATGAGATAGGATTTTACGGACCATGTTTTGGAATACACCAGGACACATGAGATAGGACTAGGTCGTCATCAAGAATCCTGGGACACATGAGATGGAAAAGGGTGTGTTCACTGACCCCTGTTTTTTTCTCCGGCATATAAGTATAGCATAGCGGCTTTGAGTGACTTTTATGCGATTTTTGGAGCCTTAAGTACCTTAGATTCAAACACTTGGGTACCCACCTTTAAAGGTGTTTATGCACTTCGCCGCTTAGAAGTTGCTTGAAAAACGGGTTCCCTTGCCCGAAGTAGGCACTTTGCTTGACCCGTCGGCGACAGTCGGCGCTTGGCTAGAAGTCGCAAGGCTTCCGTGAAACAGGTCCGTGAAACGGCCTTCTTCATAAGGAACGATGAGTTGGTCTTTGGACTGGCTTGCTGCATCTCCTGGATGGCTTGCCTGACTCTTGAGAAAACTTCAAGGGTCCTCAGTTCCTCAGGCATGAACCTCATAGAGCCAAACCTCCAAGTCCAAACCACACACACAGTCTAAGAAGGCAACAACAAGAACTGTCTGCCCAGCCTTGCATTCCCACTGTCCAAGGGGCTCCGCCGCGTCGGCGCTTTGGAACGTCACCAGGGCTCCGTTCTCCCAGGGCCTCGCTCCGAGCGGGCGCACGGGCGCACGGGGCGGTCGACGGAGTGCCAAGGAGCTCGATGCTGTCCACCGGGCCGAATTCCACCAGCCAATCCTGGAAGAGCACCGAATGAGGCACACGGTTCTGGCTTTCCCAACTCGCACTGACAGACTTGCCCTATTCCATTGGAAAAGGACATTAACTCTGGATGGCCTGATGTTTTGGAAACACATGATTCGATTGATATACTCGCCCTTTCCGCTGTCACAAGGTGGGGGGATTCAAAGGATCGGTCTTTTTGGTAAGACATTGGAGCCCTGATGAGAAGATTGGCTCTGTAGGCATGATCCCCTCCACCGAACTCCACCTGTTCAATGATCAAACGCATGACGCTTGTCATCGCTTGCCTATACCTCACTGGCACTTGCCTCCCTATTGAGACAGTTCCTCCACGAACCCAGAAAAAATCAAGCTATTACATCCCAACCAGGCTCTTCATGTCATTCTCTGTTGTCTGCTGTTGTGCTTGTCCTGGTGTGTTGTCATTATGTGTCAATGTGTGGTGTTTGCTGTCATGTCAGACCATTGGCGGGACACTGGCTCGCTGGACGTGTGGTTACGTTTGGCCATCGCATTGTGGTGTGATTGTGCGTTGTCTGTGACATTGTTTCTGGTCTGTCGTTGTGTTTGTCATTAAACCTGGGTTGCCGGCTCCAACATCTAGCCAATCTTGCCGGGCGGACAACACCAACACACACACACACACACACTCGGGCTTAGAGTTCGAAGGCCGCCCAAATGCCGAGAAGAAGCCTAAGACCTAAGTAAAAAAAAGGCCTGGGTAAAGCGGGCAATTATGAGTACCAAGTGGAGAGTCGTCTCGCATGAAAAGCTGAAAACCTCCAAGTCTTCCAAGCACTGAAGCCCGCATCACGACCTCACCATACCTCACCAAACCTGAAACAGCCTCCAAGACTCGCCTGAAGGGGAGCGTGGTTACACAAAAATCACCATTTGCAGGTACACCAGGTTGATCAAACCTGGCTTCCACCATCACACTGTTTGCTTCGTTGGCATGCGTTTGCATGATGGCCGCATGCCCCCTGCAAATCCTAAAAATGCCCCCTCTGAGTCCAAGGGTTCCACACACCAAGAAATGCCGGTGACGACGCCCGGACACACACTCAGGTTCAGCTTCAGGTTCCCAAGCCCTCTTCAGGTTCAGCCCAGAGAGGGCTCAAACCCATCCGAACAGACCCGGCTTCCGAGCCTTTGGCCCTTTGGCCCCTGGGACCCGTCCCGTGCCTCGAGGTCCCAAACCCCCATCTCTGGTGGCAAACCACTGACCTTGGATCCAACTGCTCGGGTCTGGCTACATCCAAGAACCATTTGGGAAGTGCCTGTTGAGTGTGGACTGGCCAACCATTCCCCGGTGTTGGCCATAAGACGGTGGGCAGCAGCAAAAACAGCAATGGCTAGGCTAGCAACTGTCTTACAGTAAGTCCTTTGTCAACGTGATGGGTCTTCTCTCCCAAGCTCTGTCCATCAAGAATCAAAGTACTACCCTCCTCCGAACACCATGGAAGTGGGCGTCCTAGCCCCCTTGGAAGATCCTTCTCCCTTAAAGGGAGGTTTCCCCATCTGATTACCTCGCCGCTGTGCACAAGAAAGCGTGAACCAATCAGATGACCAAGCAACGCTGAGATTGCTCCTCGACTCTGCTCACGTCACTTTATCACTCTTGGGAGGGTAAAACAGCAAAAGCATAATATATATATATATATCATTAGCAGAATATCTGCAAAAAGCCACTGGACATACCCCCCCCGACTCTAAATATTGCCCTGCATGATGCCCTGCATGATCCTGCATGTATTTCTTCTAAAGTCGAAAGCCTGCCTCCAACATGGCAATGGCAACATCCTATATATAGATCCAACAGGATCCAACTACATCTTCTGAAGGTCAAGGTGGTTGAACCCTCAAAGCCACCCACATCAACAACCACCTTCTCCAAAGGATGGACACTGCCGTGGAGCTGTGCTTCCTACAGCCAAGGGAACCAAGTGGCAAAGAGCTCAATCGGGCGTTTTGCCTCAAGCAACTGCGACATCTTCTGGTGAGCCTGACATGAGGCCAAGACCAAGTCTGCAAGTACAAACATATATCAAGTGGATCATTGCACCCAGGACTTGTGAAGCGAAGGCTGTGTCAATTTTTGGCATTTCACTAACTTCCCTCTTTAAGCATCTTAGCAGCTCAAGCCTTCTAAGGGGAGATCAAAGAAAACCTCCTCTAACCGCTCCTTGAAGGAAGTGCATCTTTTTGCTACCTCAATTTGTGCGAAACACCAACCTTCCAACACAAATCAGGAGTATACAACTATGTTATAAAATGTTATAAAAGCACGACCCCTTGCACCAAGTTTATGAAGCTACATTCAGAATGATGGTTGCAAAAAGGCTTCCAACAACCACACCGACGTGACCTGTGAGCACAGCACTTGACAGTGACATAGTGACATCACCCAAAGATTAAACACATGTATTCCAATCAATTCCAATGACATGTACACTCCCTGAAACAAACATGGAAGTGGACAACCCCCTGTTTGTTGAGGAAAATAGTATTCCAGGAGGCGGCTATCCATTTCCATGATTGTTGGAGGGAGGGTATATACCATAATTTCCCACATCGCCCACATCGTGACTGTCGTTAAAATGCGCCGGCGTCAAAGGTCCACATGCCCACCTCCATGAGCAAGGCTTCAAGCTCTACCCGAAGCCTTGGGCCCCCGAATCCGCCACGTTTCGTCGTCCGTGACGCCATGTGAGACTTCACCACTGGGATTTGTATGGATTTGTAAATGCAAGGAATAAGGATGAATAAAGTAACTATCCGTACCCGGTCCGCGACCCGAAGGTTGTAAAAAGCTTCACAAGAATGTAGCTGGTAGCGCGGTACACTCTAGGAAAGCTACTGATGCACTTAACACTTTTTGGCACCCGCTGTGATTGCAGAAACCTTCAACCAACAGCTTGTGCCGGACATATGCCTGCTAAAGATTCATTCATAAGTTCTCTTTCGTTGAACCTTCCTTGCCAACAAATGCAGCTGAATCAAGTATGCCCTCGGGCGTTCGAAAACATCCCCTTGTGTCCAATTCAACACCAGATACCGACCTTCGACGTAACACGGACATAACGAATCATACATCCTGTTTGCTGCTTGGTTGGCGTGTTGGTCTATTTGAGCCCTTGGGTGCAAAGGATGTTTATCCAAACTTATCCCATTATCACTCCCATGATCCTTAGCAACAAAAGGCTTGTGCCATTCATAAATGGTGCTTCCTTTGAAAGGCCCCTTTCTTAGGGAAAGCTTTCTCGCAAAGTCTTGGTGTGCAAAACCTCCCTCTTCCTAGTGAAGTGTCCACTATTCTCAGTGTTGCCTTTCCTCAAATCTCCTATGTCGACAATGTGTACCGAACCTGGGTTCCATTGCATATGTTGGGTTGAAGCACCTTGGGTGAACGGGTCTTTCAAACACCTTGGGCGCGAATGCCACTTGAAGCATTACAAACGTGTAGCTCTCTTTTTGACAACTGCCATATCCAGTCTTCATCATGCAAGGCATCTCTTCTTTAGGATCTTATTTTGTGCATGATGTTTATATATATAGACTCCTTTAGTATTTCATAAATAACACTAAATAAAATAGCCAATGTCTTTTTTGACATGCACCAAGACCTAGTCTATTAATTCATCCTTTCCAATCTCCCAGTCTCTCTTTCGTCCTAGTCTATTCATCCTTGTAAACCTAAGAAACGCTACATACGGTATCTCTTCTATTCTCTTCTGCTATGATCGTGTGGTCCTTGTAGGGGGACCTCATCCTGTCAATGAAGCCATTTGCAACAAACTTCCCCCTGCAAGATTGAATTCATCCTCCCTGTACATGTATTTGTATACTACAGTATTTACGTTCATTCTGAAAAAGCAACACCCACCTAAGTTTGAATTTGTAACATGTTGGCCCCATCCATATGTCCCAAGAAGGAGGAATCCAACACTGCTGTTGAGTCACATGTCTAGCTGCAGCGGGGTAGCCTTCCCACTGAAGAAGACCCTCACAGCAGCGGATCGTACCGTGGCGGGTTAAGTACAACCATTGGTTGGCAACTATATATTTGCACCTGAAATGACCTCAAGCATGGTCACCTCCTGTGAAACAGAAACCCACCAAGGTGATTGGTGGGACACGTGCATCATACATTACAATATCAATCGAACCCATAGATTGAACACATACCATCACATACCCTTCAACGAGACTCACAGCAGTCCAATGCACGGCGTGACTTGATAGGGGAAAGGGCTCGCGATCTCTGACGTGCACCTTGTGACCCAAGAGGAAACACGGCCCCACCGTCTGGTGGATGGAGGTGACAGCGATGTTTGGTATATCTCGCGATCGGCATATTGATTCAATTGTTTGTTTAAACATGTGTGCTATACTGTACTATAGGTCACCAACATTTGATCGATTTGACAGTTATATGCTAGTTGTTTTTTCTCCGTGGTATCGAGATTGTAGATTTTTGCTGTCGTGAGATCTGCAGAATGACATGGGGCTGGAGGGGCCACAGTTTGAACAGAAGTGGTGGCACTGCAGGAAGGGGGATCCAAGCTTAATTCAATGATGCCAGGGAATCTTCGATGATTAACATCCCTGATCTGGCTCATGGCGGGTCAAAGGAATGACTATGATTCTCCATGCCTCACGCACGAAGAACAACAAACAGCAATCATCTGCGCCTGTGTTCACATGTGGGCATCATCTTCTTGATGTAGCCTGTCAACCCACCAGCGTTTAGCTTCAAGTAGCGCACGCCTGTGCGCTCCTTGGTAGCCGGCAGTGCTAGAATAGCATAACTTATATAACCAGGAGAGAAACAAGTAATAGATAATCCTCACTGCTCACCAAAGTCCTTGTGGATGAGTCATCTGCAACTTCAGGGCTCTGACGCTGTCTGCTTCAAATCGATGCAATGACGATAAAGTTATATACATTATTCTCTGCTAGATGATGGAATTGCGGAACCGCTTAAAATACCATGCGCAGGCAAACCCATGTATTGGTGGTCTTTGACTTCAACCACCCTTTGTGATATTGGGGGCGACACGTGGTGTAGGCAGTCACATGGTTTCAGGACTTCTTCATCTTGAACTGGAGAATACTGAAAACACTCCATGTCTGCCATAGAAATGCCTACATTGACCCCTCAAACCACCCCAATGTAATTAGGTAAATTTGCCATACATGGAGTGTCTGGGTACTGAAGACACCGAATTGGAAACGTGTTTTTTCTTGTTTTGGTGCTGGATTCTTTGGACCTCTTGAGTCTATGTCGGAGCCACCTGCATCCGGCCGAGGCTCTGCCAGTGTGACGATCATCTCGCCGTCTGGGCCACCTGCCAAGTCCAGGACCAAGGAGGCCGGGTAGACCGATTGCACCTGATAGCCTGGACAGTCGTGGGAAGCCCCGCTGGTGGACTCAGGGTGCGTGGGTACTGGTAGGAGGCCTGCCCAAATCGCAACAGCCCACTGCTAATTAGGTCACCTGGCAAAAGGCCAGGAGAATGCGATCGGCCAGCTCACACCCGTTGAACATGGATCGGAAGACTTGCACTCCAAACTCACCCAGAAAAGGCTTTATCAATGTGCTTTGCGGAAAACGTCTAAAGAAGATGGAGCCTAGCAGGCCTAGCAGGCCTAGCACTGCATGATGCACCTCTTAAGAAAGCTCCAAAAACTTGCACCGAAGCCACCCACCTCCGCTTTTCACTCCGTCCCACCTCCACGCACCAGCCTGGCCCGCTTCAAGCCCCCCCCACCGAGTCGTCGCCGCGCCTAGTGCCGCCTTGTCCGCCTTGAAGGCCCGCTCCGACTCGGACCACTGGGCGGCAGCGGCTTCGACGCAGCTGGCAGCGCCCGAGTGGAAGCGGAAGCCTCGTAGGCGTAGGCGTGCGCGTGGCACTGCCCAGTCGTGAAGATCACCGTTGTGGGGTATGGTGGGGTACGGAAGCCAAGCAAAAGGCATTCCATGGTGTGCCGTGTGCAACCTCCTTCCAGAATGATGCTTCGACTGCTGATGAATCTACGTCAGTTATATAAAAGAACAACGCGCACACAAACACACCGCTGCAGTGTGCCAACCTAAGCTTGCTCGCTCCGAGTACTGATGAATCGATGCAAAGCCCAACAGGTTTTCCGATACAAATTGGTTCTCCACCCGAGCTGCATTCCGATCACATCCAACCCCAACCCCCCCCCTTTGGGCTGCCAAACGGACATAGCCACGCCTAGGATGCCAACGGCCCCATGCTTTCGAACACCATATCGACACAACATTCAGGGTAAGTTCAAATGTACGTCCAAACACGGTGCCACAAGCTCTTGACACCAGCTCTGGACCACATCACTATTGCATCACTATTGGAAACGGACGTGTCGAGTCTACCTGGGTTGCTCACCGTTCATGCATGAGTTTGGATGAAGCCTTGTGACCCACACGCCTGGGGCCTCCCGATACTTAATCACTTATAACAAGCTCACACACAAACACCAAGCGAACCACCTCAATTTTGGCATATTTTGGCTCGCAGGTGTTGGACCCTTGCATTGTTCGGACCACCTGGCCTACCAGCCAAACGGGTAGAATGATGAAAACATCAAAACCATCAGAACCTTCCACAGAGACGGTTCCTCTTCAAAACGTGCATGGCCCATAACACCATCCACAGAACAGCAGCAAACAAGGTACACTTCCGTCGTGTTCTCTGATAAACACATGACATGTAAGTTGAACATCAGCTGTGGCAAGACGACTTTCGACAGGCAAAGGAGCGAAGTAGTGTACAGGAACAGAACCGTCTTCAGTGGGGCGAAGTGGAAGGACGAGACCCCCAACCCGATCCGCATTTCTGCTACCAGCCTAACAGGCAGCCATTTGTTTTTGGGCGGCAAACTTCCCCAGCAATGTTGGAGCACATTTCAATATTATAAACGAATGGATACAAGAATGAGCCTATACCATAGACTACCTGCTTTTCACAAAGAGGCAACTCTTGGCGTGCCCTGACTTGCCTTTGCAAAAGCACCTCCTTTCTACCCAACAACCTCTCTCACTTTCTCACATTCTGCCATGGGGCGGCTGGTCCTGAAGCGGAAAAACCTGGGCGTCCGGGGGAAAAGATCCGCCGTCACATCCTGTGAACAACAGGCGTTTTGTGGAGGAAACTGCAGTCTTCTTGACTTCTTGTTCATCTTGTGTCATCTGCTGGTGAGTTTTGTCCTTTGTCCATCAGCAGCTAGGTCCTACATAAGTGCTGCAAAGACTTGTTGCATATATATATATATATATTGTAATATATATATATTTAATTGATGAAAACGGGTGGGCTGCAGTGCAGCACGTGCTGCAGCATGCCAAAGTGGTTGATGGACACAACACACATTTGCCAGTATATGATCCGAGCAGAAAATGAACAACGAGTCCATTCCATTAACTATATGACTAACAAATAGAAGCTTGGTAGCTGACAAACATCTATTTGCCTGCTCAACTTCAAATCACACCGTGCCACCTCAATAAAGGAACATTCCAAATCTGCAAAGCTCTGGTTGCCCACGTCACTAAAATGAAGGGGATCTTCTACTCACAGGGTTGACATGGTGGTTGACCTCAAAGTCATTGCTGCCACTATCGCTTGATGTTTGATTGGAAAACCCGCCAGGGCTCTTTCACCAAACATCTTGCCTATGTCATGCTCTCATCTGCACGAACCTTAACCTACCATGCGTCCAAAGCAAAACAACAAACACATCTTCAAGCGCAAGTTGGGACAGGGATTCTGCATGCAGGTGACTTTGAAATATGATTTACAAATAGAAGGAACAGCCAGCATCTCAATCAAGTGTTATGGTTCCATAGTTTGGAGAACAAAACACATCCACATTCTGTCCACTCCAAAGTTGCCCTGCGCAATTCCATCTCACCAATCCTTTTGTGCCTCGGTCCTCCCCCCCATGTTCATGACACTCATTGATGAGAATTGAAGATTTACACACCATTTTGTTCTTCTCAATTCTTCCCCTTCCCGGTCTCTGCAAGTATTCACCTGCGGCACAGTGGACCCCAGCCTCCGCAGCAACACGGTCCGCCTTTTCGAAGTTTTTTTCCGCACGCCACACACGTTCGTCGACCGCGTGCCACCGGTGCGTCTACGCCCGGTGTGTCTCGGGACTCGTTGAGTCCTGAAATTCAGAAGATTCAACCTGGGACGTGGTCGCTAGAACAAGGCGCCGGAGGAATGGATTGAACAAGTAAAGAAATTGGATCCCACTGTAATATTCCGACGAAGACGTGTGCAAAAAACATGAGGGCCATCATTCATGTATCATGGTAGAAAAAGGATGGGGTGGTGTGGACGGCGTGGACATGATATATTCAAAGGACCAGCTTCTGGATTGTGTTCAACAGCGATTGGGTGATCACCAATTCAATAAACGTAGCAAAAACAACAACTGCAAGAATCCTTGAGCACCAACATTGTCTGTCCTTCTGTCGTGGTATGTGCGGGCTCTGTTTACTTATGCTTCCGATTCAGGTGAGGTGAAGCGCTTATGTGTTTGCATCGGCATGTCTTCTGTGGGTGAAGTACTCAAGCACGGTAGTTACAGCATTTTTCTATGACATGGAACCCCAAAACCACCGGGTTGTAGAAGAAACCGGTCTTCCACCGGGATCGTTTGTGCGTTCTTGGCTGCCAAGCGACTCCAGCGGTCGTGTCAAACCTCTGGCAAGGCGTTTGCCTCGGCCTCTGCACCGTCCGCGGCAGCACCGAGGATCCCAACGGAGTCTTTCTCCATCATGATGCAAAACTCATCAAAACCTGAGCGGACCAACCGCTGCAGCCGTTCAAAGATATTTAAAGAGATCAAACAAACAACATGATCATCTAGGACTCTTAGAGTCTTAGAGAGGTTTCCGCTGTCTCGTGGGTCGGGTCTTGACGAAGCTTTGTTTTGTTGCCCCTTGGCAAGAATGCACTCTTCAACAAAAGCAAGAAATACTGCTGCAGTATCGCCTGCTCCATGTGGATATTCCATCTTCAATCGGTTTTCAGGAGCTTCCCGCCCAAATCATCCAAACACATCCAGAAACCATCGGATTCACAACTCCGATCCAGGTGGCTGATCTCTCCATTAGAATCCAAGTCCACATCTGCGACCATCTTTTCGATGTGCGCCATGTTGTCCTCTTCCTGGCCGTTTCAGAAAAGCGCCATGCAGCATGCAACTTCCCGTGCACATCCATGGGTCGTTTGGAATTGGAAGGGGCCTTCCATATCCTCCATGCCCCCCACTTCATCACCATTTTTTGAGGTTTTAAACGTAAGAACCCCCCCCTCCCCCGCCTCCATCCCGCGAAGGGAGCGGGTCGCACACCTGGAACACCCTCAGTGGTGGTGGTGGCATCTGTTTTTTTTGCTCTGACGGTTTGGATGGGAGGCCGTGCCTTCAGAATCTTGGCCAGCTCGTCCTTGGTGATGACCTCAGGTGCATGCGTGCATAGTGTGTTTCAGGAACCTATGCCTCCAAAGCCATTACAAGCATGAATCATGATCGTCGTGGTCAAATCCTTAACACAAACGCTCTGGTCTCAGTGCTTTTCTCTCCAAATTTGCATTTTCCTCATGAGGATCTCATGTTGCCATCTATTTCTATCGCCCTGCCTGGGGGTCTAGCGCCAACCCCTCAGCAGCTAACCGCTCCAAGCAACACCATCCCCATTGGTATCGAAGACTCGGAAAGCGGCCCACATCACCTGGCCGCCAAAAACCTTGCAACCCATCCAACCCGAGCAGCAGCACCAGCATCTTTCATCGGGGTCATCCGCCTATTCAGGTGGGTCGAAGGTACCTACCCAGCGGTCCCATCCATTCTCACCCCTTCAGCTTCAGCCCCTTCCTCGCAGTCTGTTAGCACTTTGGCACGGTTTCGGATTGGGGACGAGTCGTGTCTCTTCAGCCTCTTGGTCCAGGTGACCGATAAAAGCCAACGCAGGTACTGACCCCAACGCCACCCGTGGCCGTTGACACGTTCCGTCGTCGGCTCGTTCGGCCTCTCTGCGCAGGTACTGCTTCTTGGTCAGGGTGGCCGCCATGAACTCCGTGTAGTCGATGTTCCCGCTGCCGTCGGTGTCCAGGTTCCGCACCTGAGTAGTGAGGGGCGGGGCGGACCTTTTTGCAGAGTGCAAAGATCAAACGAGAGAAGACAATAGGTATATAACCGTATATAACTTATATAACTATATGGAACTATATACTACTGTATGATACTGCAAGTGGAGGGCCATGTGATAGTACCGTACAAATAGTACTACAGTCAAGCTGCAGCTCCACATCTAAAGCATTCTAAAGCACAGTGACACTATGCAATGAAACTGCCATGGTCTGCTGGCTGCTTTCCCCTCTGTGGGCCCACAAGCGGCGCTGACCCCAACCCTCTTCTCACGTTCATTCACTCGACTTCTTCACCAATCTCTTGGACATTCGTCACCCCAGCTCTGAGAAAAAGAATATGCCGTGCGCACGAACAAGTGTGTACACACATACCTCCTCCGTCAAGAGGCTCAATGCCGAACAGTACTTGTGGTGAATTCGCATGTAAAACCATCACTTAGAGGCATTTTAGGGGGGAACAAGCGCCAACAACACGACCTGCATTGTTCAGCAAAGGGAACGATTTCCACGATGTCTTCAGGAAGATCTGCCTTTGCCATCTTCATGCCATTCTGGATTTCCTCCAAGCCTGAAGGGTTGCTCACCACCAAAGTTGAGGGACACCATTCACAACCGTCAACAACTATTATAGTAATAGTAGTATACATATATAGTAGTAATTAATATTATAGTAATAATAATATACATATATAGTAATAATTAATAATCTATAATTACATACAATCTTATTATGTACCTGGTTTTGCCCCGTGACGTCTCAAGCCAAATAGAAGAGATTCCTTACCCCTCTGGTTGTTGACCAGAAGTACTTGACCTGACAAGCAGTACCATTACAACAATAACAACTCCAAAATGGTAGCAGTGATTCACAAAGCACGTCAAGTCAAGCCTACCAAGAACCAATGGTCAAGTGGTTAGGAGAGTTTTCCTACGGGGGCCAACTCCCAAGCACCCAATCAGATCAACATAGTGCGTAGCATTCAAACTGACTGCTTCACCCAGAAAGAGGATGACCCAAATCCACGTATTCCATTGCAGCGTCAAACTCCAAACAAGAACACATGGGAAGCGCATCTGACCAGCTTGTCTCCTATATATTGTACCATATTTTGAGTGAGCGGGATCGAAATACCAAACAGTCATTCGGATCCCAGCTGCAATTGCCGTGCTCAGCGGCACTATATTCAGGACATTTGCAGTACCACCCCTTCTTCCACGGAGCCCCGTGGAGTGGCCCTGTTTGGGAACGCCCATGCCGCGGAGGTAAGGCCTGTACGTCGTGTTTTGCACTGGGATGGACTTGGGATGGCTAGCCTGCACCTACTTGTATAATCTTATATACCTTCACCCACCCGGTCTTGGGACCTCAATCGAGCATGTAACATGATCGATCAATCCAGCCGAGGTGCTAAGGGTTCCATCTCGATCCTTGTCCAACTTAATGAAGGTGTCTCTCAACTCCTTGAGTTCATCATCCTTCAGCTGCTGTGCAATCAGTGTCAAGGCCACCTCCACTGCACCGCGCATCACGCACGGAAAACCCATGCGTTTTAGGTGCAAAGCTAGTGGCTGACAGGTATTGTAAGCGTGTATGGCTCAACCAGTTAGCACAGCAAACGGCAAGCAGGCTTGTGAGCACCCTCGGCAGCATATAATTATGAATAATATTGAATACACAAATATATATATAAAAAATATATATATATATATATATCATACTTGTACATATATTCTCTCTCTCTCTCTCTCTCTGGTACTGCATGCTGCGTGCTTGTCTACTCCAAAATGCTCCTATATAGATCCTCCCCTTCACTCCATTTGCATCCATCTGTCCGAATATGTTTGATTGATCCCCTCTCCGAACCCGTCCCACCTTCTTCATCCGAGAATTGCTTTGAAAGTGCTTGAGCTTGTGGCCTAAGTCCTTTCCCACGCGCCCAACAGGTGCTGACGCAGAGGTCGTGAGCCACTTGTGGGTGAGCAACTCTTGTGCGCTGGGCCGCTTGTCAGGATTGAAGGTCAGCATGAGCCTGGCAAAGGAGCCGTGACTGCAGGCTGAGCAGTGAAGATCCGTTGGATCACGAATCACGAACTGGCAAAAAGTTGAAAGAATGTACTGTACGCATTCGCACGACCTGAGCTCAAATGAACTGGTTTCTTCTTCTCGTTCCTTTTCCTTTCCTTCCGGTCATGGATTTGACCGGAACTCATTTAACCAAGCGGCTTGATGAAGTCAATTGCATCACTGGAGACTTCAGACCAATCCTGTGGCTGTGGGTCCATGAAACGAATGCTTGGGGGCCCGACATGTTCACAAATCCAAACGGATTTTGACCACCTAGGACCTACAAGTAGTTGGGACCTTATTTTCCAGACACACACACACACACACGCACACATGCGTGCACGCCCACACATACACACAAATCGCTCGCCTTCATGATGCTTGAGTGGGAAAGTTGGATATTGACATATAATGAAATACACAAGACTCAACAAAGAGGCAAGCAACAAGCGGATGTGTCCCAAGAGCGTTTCACATGTTCTTGGCAGCACTCTGAAATCCGAGGGCTGTGCGTGTCGAGAGGCCATCACAGTCCATGGTGGTGTGGGGTCCCTATGAATATTTGATGATATTTAGTCCCTAAAAAGGGAACCACCGAAAGAGAGCTTGATTGAACTGTGGCTCCCAATATGGAGAAAGCTCACTTTCGAGGCATTTTCCCCGGGCGAAGCGAGATTCCGAGCCGCCTCGTGAGGGGGTTCACCCGGGTGCCGCCCGGATCGCCCCAAGTGATCCCACCAGGTTGGCACCATCGCCACCCTCATCTTCTCCGAGGGGCCGCAGGATCGAATTTCACCTCGCCCTTCTTGACCATGGCGAGGATCTCTTTGTCCTTCTCGCCGTAGAAGGGAGGGTAGCCGCACAAGAGGATGTAGCAAATCACACCACAACTCCACACATCCTCAGTCACCCGAAGGAAGGTGGAATCTGCAAACGGAACGTGGAATGGATGTTGAGGATGAAAAGTGAAAGAGTACCAAGCATGAACATCCATTGGGGAGGACTAGGAAAAAATTAAAAAGGAACACACGCCTCTTCTCTGAACCCACAGGTCCTCAAACAGCTTAGACGGGAAATCTTCAACAAAACAGCATCGCATTTACATGAGTGTGGAACCTGTCTGTCTAAACACGTCACATCACCCCGGCAAATGATAGTAAATGATGATGCTGTGTAAAGGCCTATTAAAGGCCTTTACCAAAGAATGCGGCAAAGTGGTATATATGTATATATACTGGCCTTTGAGTGAGAATGGGACAAACACTGTCTATATATTCCAATTCAATTGCCAGTCCGGAACAAATGCTTCGGGGTGGAATATCTTAAGTGAAGTGGAATCCCCAAACTCCAATCAACCGGAGTCAGTACTAGTAGTTGGTGTCCAGGAGTTGCATCCCCAAACATCTGCCCCAAACATCCGCCAAGCTGCACACTTCTCATCATATGCACCAGCCAGGACCTGCGGGGACACGTAGTAAGGCGTGCCCGCTCGCGTCTTCATGGTTGCTCCTGAACCTGGGTCAAGAAAAAAAAACAGAGTTTGATGTGCTGATGTACAGCATCTTCACCAAACATCGGGGCAAATCTGGATCAATAACTTCGATGTAACAAAAACACATCGAACAACACTCGACCAAACATTTGTCACCAGTTCATCACCTGTGAAAAGGATCGACATCTCCGCCGTTGGAGAGGGTCGGCCAAGCCGAAGCGTCCAAGGAACCGGGCTTGTAATGCTTGGCCAATCCGAAGTCAATGACTTTAATATCAGCATTGGCCTCCTGGACATACCGTGCTCAAGGGATCTGAACATCATACCGACCGGGCCAATATCGTTTGATCTATGCTTGTCATATCTTCTCTAATTACAGTACCAAATATGGGCAAAAGGCACAGGCCCAAGTAAAGGTTCAAAGAAGGTCTACCTTGGAATCTACCTACGCTTCAAATCTGTGCAATCTACCTTGGAATCCATCAGAAACAGCCTCCAAGGGTTTAAGATGGTTTTAGATAATTTAACTCCAAAATGGGTGTGCAAGCACCGGCGGACATTGGGTGCAAGGACCAGGAGCAACTCTCCAAGCCGTTGGGGAAATGCCTTGAGACTGGAGGGCCTTTGGATCCATTGGATCCATACATGTCACATGTCCAGTTCTTGGTAATATTTACAAATCTCTCCATTTCTCTCTCTCTCTCTCTCTCCCAGTCCTGGTTCTGCATGAGGAAGTTCTCCGGTTTGATATCCTCAGTCTCTCACCCGACCCTGGAGACACCAGTCGTCGACTAAGGGGCTCAGTGAGTCCTAATGTCGCCTCGATCAGAACATGCTCGAAGCAAAGGTGCTGATCTAAGTGGTGCTGATCTAAGTGGGTGTGTTGTGAACGTAGGGAGACCTCCGCTGGAAGAAGGAAAACACACGAGTCTTCCCATTCGGCCAAGGGGTCTCCCTATCAAAAGGCACACCCAAGTATTGCTCCTATATATAGATGTTTCTCCACCAAGCACATGATGCACAATTGTTGCAGAAAATCTAGACCAAAAAGGTTTTGGAAAATCAACATGCATGAAATACAAAACATGCGGCTGCCGATCATAATGGCAATGACCTGTAGCCTGATGATCCAAACTCATGTCCTCAAAGTTGCTTCTAAATGTTCTGATGCAAGTCCACAAAGGATGCCGGTAACGGCTCCTGATGCACAAACACACTGTCCGCCATACCCCAATTCGCAGGTAAAACCTCTTCACCCGACGAAGTAATTCCCTAAGAACCCTAAGGTCGGCCCTAGTAGTGGCCTGCCTTCCACTTGCAGCCAAGAACAAAAGCGCAGCTCCCAAGCCCAGTTTTGGACGGGATGCCCGATGAACGAAGTTGTTCTTGTGGAGATAGCCTCGGGAGCGGGAAACAACGCGTGGATGGTAGGCACGGTATAACATTTAGACACCTTTGAACATGAGTAGCTAGTGGTCTTGTTTTTAGCTGCAAGGCAGGAATACGTTATGCAATGTATTAGAGTATCAGTATTACACCAAAATACAGTATTTTCCTCCAAGTGGTATCATATAATGTCATAAACCACGACAACTCGTGGAAACAAAGCAGGAATGAGCAACACTGCTTGATATCGCTCTATATGCATGAACGTTGTATGCCTGCTGCATCGGCACCCCGAAGCTTTCTGTAATGGTCTATCTGTGGGATTGCTTGCTGGCTGCCTATGCAACATGGGCAGTTCCTTTCCACAAGTGTTCCGCCAAACATGGTCACCAGTGACACGAGGGCGTGTAGACTCATGTGTCTCCTCCTAAGTAGCACCAAGAACTTTGCAAACGCATTCACGTCAATGTCCGTCTCTTGTTTCGCGCCTCCAATGCTCAACCCTTCCCAGCTACAATTCCCAAAACGTTTGAACACATACAAGCAAGTTAAATTCAAATTTATTTCCCTGGGGCCTGGGGCTCTGAAAACTGTCCATATACAGCACCTAAAGTGAATTTACAGGCCAACAGCCTACAAGTACCAACATGTAGAGCGCCCTTTTCTTGAGCCAAACATAGAGGTCAATATGGTATGTACAGGTGTACAATCGTGCAAATACACCCCCCGCTGAACGCACTTGGCAGCAAAGGTAGTGAAGAACACTATACACGACTATGTACACGGGACAACGTGCATACCGATCTGACCTCCGGTTCCCCGGTGTTTCCTTTCATGGTCAACACCGTACGTGCCTGTGGCTTTCATAGATTCTTTGCCGACCTGAGGCGCGAGGGAACGACGATTAACTCGGTTAGTTATGAAGTAAAAATGCCAAACGGACGAATTGCAGTCGGACGCAGCTCTTTTCACATGCATCCGCAGATCGTCAAACTGGAAATGGGCCTTTTACGTAGGCACACGTTTCCACGCGGCATAATTAGTGATGCTTCCGTTTCAGGAAGAGTGCACTTTGGCTAAATCGAATTTGAGCCTTGCAAAGATTGCGGATCGCCTCAAAGAAGATGACGTGAGGCAACTGCTTCCGCAGCGCGTGCAAGGACTATTGAGAGCATATTGACACCTAGAAAGACAATGCGCTACCACAAGCACTGGATGAAAAGAACTGCGCAACTGTCATAAGGCATCGGCTCCCGCCGTGCATAGGTGGGGTTTATCGGCCGCGACCCCACCAGTCCGCTCCGTAGTTATCTTGGTACCAGGTCCAATCTGCATAGTGCCAACCTGGGATGGTACCAACGTCATCATCGAGGTCCCTCCAGTCACGGGCCCATCGATTCCTTGGGTAAGGTGCATTCTCACGGGTTTGTCGACCTCCGTGACGCCAGGTGCCCTTACCTTTGCCTTTTACTCGATCGACACCCTCTCTTTCCGGAACATGGATGTTCCTTGGGTCTGCTCGCACCAGGTTCTCATAGGACGGGATGCTCTGGAGGTCGGATGACAGCCATCCAACAAACTCCGTTTTCAGCTTCTCAACGTCCTTTTTTTCCGAGAGGAATGAACCAGAGAACCCCAGTACTTCGAAGCGGTGGTGTTCCATTGCGTACAGTCCGACAAAGACACCAGGGCGTAGGATCTTGTTCTTCCAGAAGACAAAGACCTCGTTCGACACATCGACTTCTCGCTGAGATGTGTCTGGAATCATCAAGATCTTCGCTTTCACATTGACGCCTACCCCTTCTTGGATTTGTTGGGCGGTGCGCGTCGGAATGGGCAATACCGCTGAACTGAGTCGTTGCAAAAACTTCAAACAGTCAGGGGACATGTCCTGCGCCGCGCAGTTGAACGCGTAGAACGGGTCCAAGCACAACCGCTCTGTGAGCGAGCCAAATTCCAATTTGGACGCTTTGTCCATGTGCGACTTGGCGTGTGCTCGGATTGTCGCAATGGCAGATTGTCCAGTCATGATCCTACCACCTGCAGGATTCCTCAGCCCACGGTCCCCCCGGGCACGAATATCGTCATCCGGGAACATGTCCAATGACAAGTCGAAACCGAAACTTGCGGCCAAGTTTTCAAGACGGACAAGCAGCGATGCCTTCCTCATATCCGTTGCAACACGAGCTAGTCGTCCACAGTTCAAGCACGACAAACATCCGAATGGGGAATCGGATCCGCAGTCCATGCAATGCTGTGGCTCAACGTCGTGTTGGCGAACGGTGATCCACCGTGAAGTGAAGAACTTTTCGTTTCCCCGAGGATCATAGCGCATCTCCATCTCAGGGGTCCAATGCGCCCAATCAACTGATCCCAGCGAGAGAGGCCATGCCGAGTTGTTGGGGGCATCGCCTTCCGGCTGCCATGCAATCGCCATATACGGAGTTGAGTACGTTCCGATATTGGCATCTGCATGCTCGAGCTGATCCTTGCAGAATTCACGGTTGTATGATTCGAGGATGAAGGCATTTTCCACCCAGGCCCCATGCACCCATTTCTCATACTTTCCGAACAGGTCCCACCTAGACCTTGCCAGCAATGACTGCCGTCTTGCGTTGTCATCTGCCTCATCACCACGGTCAAGCCGTTCCCGGCGACGCACGACAATGTCTCGGAGATCCTGATTGAATGAGGCTCTCTCTTTTGCATAATCGTGGTTCGCATAGATGAAGCACTTTGCTGACACATCATACGCATAGATGAGGAACTGGTTCGGAACCCAATCAGTAGTCACGACGGCTTGGCTCTGAGTGACGGCGAACCTGATTCCATATGACACCGCCATCTCAACATCAACTGCGACCGCAACTGGTCTGGTCGAGGCCATGCCTGCTTGACTCGTCTTCTGAATGCTCCACGGATCGAAAGCCGAGAAGTACGAATGAGCCTTGCTAGTCCTGAGTCCCCCCGGACAAATGCCACATCGGATCACATCATCCAAGAAGGCGATATGAGTGTAGTGGTACAAGATCTTGGGGTGAATATCCTTGATGTGCAAGTCAAGTCGTACTGGAAGCGTAGGATGCTCCCTTCGCAGCAGTCGTTCGATCGTGAACGACGGATCAAGACAGATGATTCTGTCGACCTCGGGCCACGCCATGTTGATGTTCTCCAGAATCCAGTCGTTGTGAGATTGGATTGCCTTGATTCGCACCGGCAGGAAGAGATACTTCTCAGCGAAGAGTTCCCCCTCGCGGGCAAGCTGCACATCGAGCATAAACCTATGGTTTGACGTCACGATGTCAATCAAGTCCGACACAGTGAGGGAGCGGGAGTACCTCCTCTTGATGAATGAGAACACCGATGCAAAATCCATCCATGCTCCATCTTGGAAGTCCGGAAGCGGAATGCGATCTCGTCGATTGGCATGGTTATGCCCTCGCAGCAGGCCGGAGACACGCTTTGAAACAAAGAACTGCTCCTGGTCATACCATCCGATCACCGCGGCACCAGGCACTTGGTTTGCCGGCATTGTCGTACGGATCGGAGTTCCTCCTGCTGGAACCAATTTGGGCGCATCCCTTCCGGGGGCCGCAGAACTCGATGCTGCGGCTTTGGGCATGGATGATGGCTTTGGCATGTGTTTCGCCTTGGGAGGAATGGCAGAAGATGATGATGTCCCTGCCGTTTCTTCCATTTCAACGTCGACCACCTCTGATGAGCCCTTCTTGGCTCCGGCTTCCGCCGAGCTGGACATGTCGACATTCACGACTTTGTCACCAGTTCGGAGCTTCTTGAGGCTGTCTGGCGCTGCCTTCGCCTTAGGAGCTGCACCGAGATCAGCGGCAGTCTTTCTTTTGAGGGCAGGCAGTTCCTCTGCGACCGGGCGGTGAACTCCGTCCTTGTCTCGTTTGTGCGGGCAAGGTTCCGCCGGTGGCCGCGGTGGCGGGAGTTCATCATCGTCTCCGTCATCGTCGATGAAGTGCAAAGGGAGAGTTCTGCCTGTGACCGCCTCGGTGTAATGGCGCAGGGCGTTGCTCGACATGGAGATTGCTCCATGCGGGTTCCTCGAAAGATGCAATGCACCCCCTTCGAGGTATTGGGCTGCATAGATCTTGTTGAACTTCATCTTATCGGCAACGCTTTCCAGCGCGCTTGAACCTCCGACGATTTGCTGATTGAAAACAATCTCTTCATCATCGGATTCAAGAGCGTCATCCTGCGGGTCCTGGTAACCTTCGGCAAGGGCAGCCTTGTAGTGATCGCCCACGATCTCAATGATCTCATCGACAGTCTCAGGAGGTTGGTCGATGTCCGATCTGACACGAAGGTCTGACTCTTCAATCTCTACTGTAGACACGTGTTCCCAAGCGCCCTTCTTGCCAGCGTTCACGCTCATGAGCTTCTGAGCTTCTCGTCAGGGCATGAATCATTTGGCTCCGCAAGAAGTGTTGTCTTCTGAGTTGGATGAGGTTCGTCATCAGGATCATAGTCCGGAACGAAGTCATCCTCCACGGGGTTATTGACGCTTGAGTCCCTTTCAGGTGATGAGGTGATGTCAACAGTTGGCTCACCAGTTCCCTGGGGCACAATGATTCCAGCCCGCTCCAGTTCCTCCGGAGTGGCCTTCAAGTGCTCGCCAGTAATTTCGTCCAACAGCGCCACCTCGTGACCGTCGGGGTACACGCATGTCTTGCAAAGGTTGGGTTCGATCATGATCTTGTTCTGAGGGAATCGGTCATGCGGCTCGAGAAACACGTAGGACGCACGATATCTCTCTCGGGCCTCGGCTTCCGCACGGGCTTTCTCCTCTTTCGGAGTCATGACAGGTTGAAGGCGAGCTTGCTTCCGCACGCTTCACAGTCCTTCAATCGCCACATCTGGTATGTGAGTCTTGCCATGGCGACGAAGTAGCGATAGTAAGCAGTCCTGTTGCTTTCGCTGTCCTCTGCATGGAACCCATCGTAGCGAGTTGTGGCACGTGTGAGCGGAGACCCAGTCACAGCAAGCAAC